ACATAAAGGCCGTATACTCAATAAAGGATGTGGATAAGCAGTTATAGATCAGTTCACCTCCCATATATGGTGCCGTGGAAGCTCATTAAATTTACATTTTTACTGGATATAAATTCCTAACATTAATAGTCTTGATACTGAAAATTAGGACAATAGCCCTGTCTGAAGTAAACTATGACCAGCATTTCCTAGACAATCAGTGATACTTCAATAAGAAAATTTGTCGTCTTGGGCCACTTAAGCTGATTTATGGATTAATGTATGAATTTTAGCACAATTAATTGAGTAAGTCTCACATAATCACATGCCTTCCCTTAGCTTCACCTTTACAAAAATCGTATTATCCGGAGTGGACTTTAGCTTCGGTCTTGCCACCATCGGGCTTCGCATCATGGAGGCTCACTTCATCATGAGATGGTTTAAATGTCAGCTCCTAAGTCACTTTAAGCCACCTGCGGTGAAAAAAGGTATTATTTATGAATAGCTGATAGTTTAAAAGACACCTTTCATCAAAGATACGTAGCCTCATCGACTGATATGGCAAATACTAAGTAAACTCATCGATGATTGCACCCTAAATTTGAGTTGGCAGAAGCCTTGCCCACAATACCTGCTCTGTGGTCCATTGGCAGCCGTAGCTGGGGGTGGTGCCATGTCGCCATGATGCACCCAATTCGTTTCAATTTCGCAGTTCCTTCCTGAGGGGAAGACAGTTTTAGAGGCATTTTTATGTGAATTACAGTGGCAATGTTAGGGCGTATTTATATCTTATTGAAAAAGATTACATCAGTTCTTATATCACGTTAAGTAGCATAGGCTGATTAAATTTTTTTTCAACATTCGCTTAGATTCGAGTCTTTATTTCAAGGTGCCAATATGTAAAGAAGACCCATTCTAGGAGCAAACAGGCCACGGCTGGTTTGCAACTATTTCTTCCATCGCACAGTGTAAATTACTGTTGTTCTTGAAAATTTATAAATGTACATTTTGATGGAGTCATTTTTTTGTTATGAGTATCCCGCCTGATACTGATCCTGATCGTTTCTTGTTGGTTATGCTAAAATGTTCGCAACCAGGCGCCTCGGGGGAAGATATGCACTCAGGGAAACCGCACGTGGCTCGCCTAACATCTGCTTCCGTGAACAACTTACCACTTGCCAGCACGCAGACGGTCTCAGTCGATAAGAGCAGCAACGGTACCAGAAATCATCAGCGGGGTTACCTCAGCAACCAATCGAGTGGAGCTGGGGCTATTCAGACTCATGTTATGGTGAGGTCCTCTCCGGGGTCCAGTTTCAATGGTGGCCGGACGACTAAGCCTGTCGAGACGGGTCGGTCTCGGCGGCAGCATATGGCACGACCAGCAGTACCAGCACTGCCGCCAAGGCAGGAGATATCACAAGTGACCACGGTGACGCCGACCGATACAGTGCTTGTTACTAGGGCATCTTCAGCCCGTAAACACGAACAACGGATGACAGGCCGGCGGTCTGCTAATGGAATGGAAGCGGCGTTACAAGAGAGGCATCGTCGTGGCCGTAAAAGAACGGAGAGGTTTGCAATATCCAAAGAAATGCAGGTAAAAGGAGCTGTTAATGAGTGAGAATTAAAATTATTATTAGAATATATGAAGACCAAGATGTTGTGGCCTCTGTTATGGTCGCAGTCTCCTTTCGATTTATAAAAGTGGATTGATCTTGTTGTCGCAACTTGGTCTTGTTGTCAGGGTGACTATGTAGAACGCACCTAGTCCGAAGTCGTCTGCCATAGTAGTTATCATGATTCCCAGCATCTGACAGTGGACTACGATGCCGGCGAAACGTTTGAGAATGTATCAAGTCCACTGTCAGATGCTGGGAATCATGACAAC